AAAAAAAAAAAAAAAAAAAAAAAAAAAAAAAAAAAAATTAAAAAGTTTATTTTAATATTAATTTAAAATTTTTTGAATTTTACAAATATATAAAATACCAAATGGGGACTTATCAGGTAAAGAAATATAACCATATTTTGTTTTTTCGAAAAATTTTAAAAAGTTACTTTTTGCTTTATATTTATTAAATTGATTAATGTAGTATGTGTTATAATCATGACTTGAATTATGATCATTAAGATTATTATCATTTGAATTGCAATTATTAGAAAATATATTATCATGATTATGCTTGTCATTATTCTTTTTAATGTTATCTATATTTTCAAATTTAAGATTATAATTTTTATCAGAATTATAATTTTTTGTTGTAGAAGCTTTTATTTTATTATTTTCTTGAAAATTATGTAAAAACTTTTTATATTGTTTTTGAAATTCTTCTTCTATGAAATCAATAATTTTAACTTGATTTCTAAATTTTTTTATTAATTTTTCAATTACATAATCATTTTCATAATGTGATAATGCACAAGTGGAATAAATTATAAAACCATTTAAATGAAGTAGATGAAAAGAATTATACAATAATTCAACTTGAACATTAGAATTATTTTTAATAACATTAATAGACCATTTTTTTATATCATTCGTATTTTTTTTTATTAAATACTCATCAGATGAACAAGGAACATCTAATAAAATTTTGTGAAATTTTGGAAACCTCATGAATGAATTTAAATTTAAACCATTATAATTAGTTATGTGTAAATTATTAGAATTAATTAAATCATTTGGTAAATATTTATTTAATACCTGTTTTAATCTATCATATCTAACTTTATTATATTCATTAATAACAAAAAATCCTTCTCTGTTCATTTTGTAGAAATTAACCATATTTAAGCAACAACTTATTTCAATATCTTTATCATTTATATTAATATTATTAATTCGGTTTAACGGTGATGTATAATATCCAAATAACTTACTTGCTATAACTAACGACTTACCACCAGGAGATGCACACATATCTAATACATATTCATTTTCTTTTATATCCATAAAATAAGCTGACAAAACAGAGCAAGGATTTAAATAATATATTACTTTATCAATATTTTCTATATATCCATCGTAATTCATAATATCATTTATATTTAATAATTCTGATTTATTTAAAATTAATTTTTCATAATTATTTTTTATATTTTCTGAATCATTTTTTATGTATTCATTTAAATCATTATTCATATTTTCTCTTGTAAATTCAGATTTATTTAAATCATTTTGTATTTCTTCAAAATTATTTAGACATAAATTTATTTTATTATTAACTAACATTTTTTCATCAATTCTATCATTTTTATTATTTTCATTTTCATATAAGAAAAAATTACTATATTCCTTATCAATATATAAACCATCAAAGCTAGTTTTTACCTTATTATTTTTTATCAAATATAATAAAATTTTAGTTATATTAATAAAATCACTTTTTATAAAATCTGTTATAAAAGCACCTTGAACTTTCTTTTCTTCTTCTAATTTTTTAAATAATATTTCAGCTCTATCACCATATTCTTTTTTTAAATTTAAAAAATAACCTACTTTACCGTTACATTTCATTTTTTTTCTTATCTTTCCCAACAATAAAAAAAAAAAAAAAATAATAAATAATAATTAAAAAAACAGTTAAAGATTGTTATAAATAAAACATTTTTTTTAAATATTAAACTATGAACAACTATTTTTTTTTATCTAATCTTATAATTTTCAAATTTTCAAATGTAATTAAAGCAAAATTTTAAAACTCAGTTTTAAAATTTTTATGCCTTAGAAATATATGTTTATTATTTATAATTATTAACATTTAAAAAGAAGTTAAAAAAAAAAAAACAAAACAAATAATAAAAATATATATGAATTTAAACATTTAATAATGTAAAGGATTTTCATACAGCGCTTCTAATTGGTTTATTAATTTTATGCGAGAAAAAAAAAAAAAAAAATGTGAAAAATAAATTATGAAATTTTGTAAAGAAATTAAAATAAAATAATAATGTATTGGTAATAATGTTTTAATTAAAAATAAAAAAATGTATAAACAATTATTTATTTTATTTCTTTTTTTTTTTTTTTTTCTTTCCTTGAGTTTTTAAGATTTATTTAAATGACAAAAAAAAGCTATATGCATTTTATTAAAAGAAGTTTGTAAATAAAGGTAAACAATTAAAGTAGATATATATTTTTAATCAACTGAATGAATTGTATTATAATAATTCTTGTTAATGAAATTAAGTATTGAAAAGAAGGTAACAAAAATAAAAGGATAACATAATAAAAAAAATTTTAAATAAAATTTTGTAATTAAAAAAGTTAAAAAAAAAAAAAAAATAATAAAATAAAGAATAAATAAAATAACAGTTATAAATGGATTATTTTTCATATAAATTTAAACTCATATATTATATTTAATATGTAAATCTTTTATAAAGTAAAAAATATATATATATTAGCATAAGTGAATCAGGAATTAAACAATTAAATGTAAAGATATAATGAATAATGTACCGTGTATTTACTTACAAGAGGATGAAAATTATAATGAAGAAAAAAATTTGAATGAAAATAAAATTTTGTTAAAC